CTCCCTCTCCTCCTCGTTTTCTTTCCCATCCCTCTCTCTTCATCCCTCTTCCTCCTCCTCCTCCTCCTTCATCCCTTCTCCCTCGGCTTCCATATTGATTTACTCGATATCCCGTAGTCACATTCTTGTGGCGAAGGTTTCCGGCTGAAAACCGCTGACATTTACCTCCCAGTCACAACACGGCTCATTTAAACCCCACAAAATAGCGCGCGCATCGGCGGTACATGCAGAGGCAGCGGAATTTAAAGGCTGATTGCAGGCATTTTTACGTGCAGAGGGTGAAATAATGAATGTCTGCGAAGAGGAAGTTGGAGGCCTGAGTGGTTTTAAAACACAACCTATATAACCTCTCGCGGCTTTTTCTCCTGTTTGCTCCCTTTTCACAACTTTTTCATTGTTACCATGGAGATGTTAGGTGGGATTTAATTAAGGGGGGGGGGATGTGAGAGACAATGAAAGGTAGTGAGAAAGTGTAAGGTCATGTAAAAAGAGGCACAACACACACACACATGCATGCACACAAAACATATCTGAAGGCAGGATGGGGGGGACACCTGTGGAGAGGAAGGTAGGAACCCAAAGGCTGCACCCTGCTCTCACCCAGTGGTGCTGGAAGGAAGGAACCCAAATTTACCAACATGGGTGGGAGGCATCGCACACAAACACACACACACACACACACACACACACCCCTGAGACGCAGGTGTGCACGTAGTGGGATGGGCTCGCCACAGCGGGAGCACCGGCAGAGCGGCTTAGAGGGACGTGCGGTGATAGTTGTGCGCGTAGAAAATTACAAGCAGGCTTCTTCTTTCATTTAGTCGTGGATGGAATTATAATAACAAATGTATTTATAAATGATCAGCATTTATTCTTAGCTTGAGTAAATGTATGTACATAATTTCAGAATCTGACTCACTTTTCTCTGTAGGGGGGGAAAAAAAAGTACAATGACAGGAAGGAAAGACTGAGTCAGAACAATCAATTCACAAGTGGCTTTAAGCTTCAAATGTTACTCAGCCGCCTCTGTGACTGCGGATATGGCCCGACTAATAAAAATAACTTAATGTTCTGTGTCTGGTGAAAGGATTAATTTGGTTTATTCCTCCTATTAATTGACTGGAGAGCTTATATAAACACTTTATAAATATTGCCCGCTGATACAAGTCGGTGTGAAATTGCATGAGCACTCTCTCATTACCCTCTTCTCTTCTGTTTAGTGACTCTTCACTCCTGTCACTGCAGACTTATAACTGGCTGTCTGACTGAGGGAGTTAATGTGTTCAAGAGCCAGCTGTCCCTCAAATAACACACTCAATAATTCATATTGCAAGGCACACACACAAACACACACACATGCTGATCTGTGTGTGTATGTGTTAAGATACAGGTCAGTTCAGCACTTTGTGTGCAAACTCGGCAAGGGAGCAGCAACATAAGTGCTGACGAGCCTCGGATGGGAAACCTTTGCTCGCTAAGGAGGCATTAAAACAATGTATGTGTATGTGTGCGTGTGTGTGTGTGTGTGTGTGTGTGAGGGAGAGATTTAGATGATCACAGTAGGTGTGTATGTGCAGCAAAAGGAGAGGAGCTGAGCGTTTGTCCCCCTTTACTAATGGAAATCAGATCTCTCATGTGTTGAGCCAGCAGAAGTAGAGCAGGAGATCCATCATGTCAGACGGAGGTCAAAATCGCAGGCCGAACCTCCTCTCAGGCTCTCCGAGTAATATCCCCCCCCTCCCAAAATGTTTGGATTCAGCCAAAACTCAGCTCTTTAATTAGCGAATGAAAGCGCATTTAGAGATCAGATATCAAACCGACAGGCGAGAGAGCGGCTGGGTGGGAGCGCTTAGATTGGAGCGTCTTCCTCCTGAGTGCTGATTTCTGCTGCACACAGGCTTGATCGGGCATGTTGTCCAGAAATTGTCTCCCACAGCTCAATAACTCATCAGCTGGTTTTAAGTCTTTCGGGGCAGCTCCGTGTAGAGTCCCTATGTCTTGTCAAAGCAAGTCAGGAGGCAAATCCCAGTCAAAACCATCCTCGTGTCAGCTTAAAGCCTCCCGGGCCGCTGAATATTAAACATTGCTCACTATTTGCCCATTTTTCATCCAAAGCTGACACTGTTTATTCACATTAGTCAATGTAACCAGCACAGTCAGCTATTCATCCAACCGCTGTCAATAAGCCCTAAATTAACTGGAAACTATTTTAATAATTAATCACATGATCAATGCGAGTCATTTCTGAAACCGAAATGTTCTCAGGCTCCAATTTCTCAAATCAATTAACTGCAGTTGTTTTGTGTTTTAGTGAATATCTTTGGGTTTTGGACTCTTGATGAGATTAAAAAATATGTGAAGAGTCAATTTGTCCAGATCCAGATTGAATCCCAAGTCCTGCTAATACTAATATTCTTCAAGACTTGTGGCTATGTTGCTTGATGGAGTCTTAGATTTTGTGACTTAAAATCCCTAAAAACTTGGCTTCAAATTTATCTCTAAAATATTTAATATATAGCAATGAAGAAAAAACAATAGAAGAACATTGTGACATCTTTATACATTCATATAACTGCTCAGCATTTAAGCATTTTTAAAATTGCATTTGCCTCATTAGTTCTACGTTTGATAAGATTTGACGGACAATGCTGGCATCGTGACCAGCCACCTCCACAACAGAGCTGCTTCAAACCAGCAACTGACATTCAGTGTTCTCGTACCGATCATCGGACGTGACGAAAAGCGACTTGGAAAAATGACAAATTAAAGGAAAAACCTAACCTTTTGACCTTTACGTTGAGGCTCTGTTGTGTTGTGGGGAGCGTTTGGTTGGCATGGTTTGCATCAACTTGTCCTATGATGAAGCATTTCAATCTGGATGGGAGTGGTCTCTACCAGGATGCCTCCGTCCATAAGGGGCATGATCAGTATTTTGGACCACACAGCGCCATAAACCACACTCCAAATGAAGAAGCATTTCATGGAAGAGTCCCTCCAGTACAGTTTAATAGATTTGTAAAATCAATGCCAACATGTGCAGGCCCGACACCTTGTTAAGTTGCTTTGTTTTTTCTTTTCCTGTTGCCCATTTGTAGGTTTTCAGTGACTTGAAGCTATCTCAAGTCTGCATCTCAGCTGCCTGCAGATCCACAGACCTTCTGAACCTGACAGCAGTGTTTCAAAGCACTGCAGTGAGGTAAACAACAGTCTGGGAAATGATGTAAAGGCACATTTGATCCCTATAAATAATACATTATCACTTTATATATATATACTGTACTTGAGTGGGCTGCAAGGTGGCACAGTTGGTAACACTGTTGCCTCACAGCTAGAAGGTCGCCGGTTTGCGTCCCGGTGTGCACACCCGGGATGTTTCTGCGTGGAGTTTGCATGTTCTCCCCGTGTAGTGTGGGTTCTCTCTGGGTTCTCCAGCTTCCTCCCACAGTCCAAAAACATGCTGAGGTGAACTAGTGATTCTAAATTGTCCATAAATCTGTCTCTAAGTGTAGCCCTGGTGACCTGTCCAGGGTGTCCCCTGCCTTCACCCTAAGTCAGCTGGGATAGACTCCAGCCCCCCGTGACCCCAGTGGGGATTAAGCGCTGTATAGATAATGGATGGATGGATGTAGTTGAGTCCATCCATGTTTTCAGAGTTTTTTTTTTTTTTTTTAAACCAAGTCAGGTGCTTATTGGATATATTACCACATTAAAAAGGATCCCAGTTCACAGCGCGGCAGTTTGTCCTCAGGTGGAGTACGACTTTTCTGAAAGTCAGAGTAGACCACAGCTTCATAAACCGGGATGGAGTTCGTCTTTTCTTTCTGCTCTGCTGCTTTAACAGGCAGCGACCAGCTCCCTCCCCTCTCTCTCTCTCTCTCTCTCTCCTCTCTCGTCCACCCCCACAAGAGCCTGATGATGTGCAGGCTCCACAGAGCAGGACTTTCAAACGATATCATTACCATTTCAAAGAACCTGCTGCTGTCTTATAGACCTACAAGCTGTGGTATGTTATATGGAGCAGGACGTCGTTTGCCACAAACTGCATCATCACTTAACATCTTTTTATCCAAACGACAGCCGACTGCCGTATGCAACTCATTTTCAGCCGGGCGAGTCGCTGCGCGTTGTTTCAATTAGGGAAAAGGCATCGATGCTGTGTGCATCCGCAGTTGTTGCAGGGTATCCTGTGAGGCATCACTGCCGCTTGTCAGTGTTTCAAACAAAAGCCTTGTTTTTGCTGCTGTCAATTACATGGCAGATATGGAGCAGAGACCAGCAGAGAGGGACTAATTCACATGCAGGCCTCTGAGGGTACATTAACACAGAACAACAGTTGAACAGTTTGGAGGACATGCTTCTAATTTTGTTATTTATTCCCCTCTAAACAGCCAAGGGTCCACGCAGTGTCTCTCAGTCCCCTTCTCATTTAAATACTGCTGAGCTTAAATACACACAGACTTAAGCGCTCAGCGGTTTCTCCTGCAACATTAATGTCCTCATTTATCCTCTTATGCACAAATGTCAACCTTTGTCAGCCTTCATCCCTGCCTCTCCCAGTCTGCACCCTTGAGCTGCCTTTTACACCTCCACCAGCTCACTTCTCTCCTTCTTTTTCCTTCCTTCTCTTTTGTTATTTGCTTCCATGCCTTATACCCAATTCATTACTCCACCCCTACCAACCTGCCCCTTCCCTCCTCTGTCTGTATTCTCCTCACTCGGTAACTCATTGCATCCAGCTCACTCCCTCCTCCTCCTCCTCCTCTCCTATCCTGCGTCCTGCATAGATATTGCACATTTCTTCACCATATCTGCTTCTCTCTTGTTTTCTTTCATTGTCTTCTTTTTTCTCTTTCTCACTCTCTCTCTCTCTCTCTGCTTGGGGATTCTCTAGTGACATCATCACTCCTACGGTTACCATGGTTTCGGGGGAAAGGGACCGTAATAACTGTTTGGATCAAACAGACAGACTGTTGTATCACACACACACACACACAAGGAGACCGTGTCAGGAATTACACTTTATTACAGGATCCAGACACAGTTAGCAGGTTTAGGTGGAAGCGATTACGTGTGAATGCGTTTTGGGGTTCAGGTCAGCGTTAACGATGGCTCTGTGTGAATGAACACGTCATCGTCGTACAGGTCTTCGGCCAGGTCGCCGTCTTCTTCGGTGAAATAAGTGGGGAAAGGAGGGTTGAGCAGGGTGGACCTCCTGGTTGGTAGAATAGTGTCTCTTATCTGGAACACACACACACACACACTTACTCGAATGCACGTCGTAATGCAGAAACAATTCGGAGACACAGGATTCGTCCCAAACAACTGTGACAAAAACGTCATTTATGCAGCAAAAACTACAACAATACTGCAGTTTAAATATTTTTGAGGTTTGAGCGTAATCACACAAACGCCGTTGACACATTTTAATGACGAACAGGGTTCAATCAAAACATTCTGGGAGCGCTTGGGATGCCTGTGCATTGAGCACGTCGTGGTCATGCGCATGCAACACGTGGAAGCAGGAGCTGTAAAGACTCAGGAGGAAGCGTGACGTCAAGCTTTCAGCAGCAGGGCATGTGTTACTCATGTCTTTATGACCACTGGTAGGTGTCCATTTGCGATTTTCAAAGTAGAGAGCAAACATCAAATTCTGAGTCAGTCCACCGTGATGTACCGTTTTTCATCACAGATCATCACTGCTGAGGAGAGGTGGGTCTGTAGTTACCATTAGGAGAAGAAACAGTCAGATAGCCCACCATCTTCAAGCCCAGACAAAGTGCATGAGGTCAGGAGTACAGCGGAGCATACTTGTTGTTTTCTTCGACATTCATGTGGCTGTGCATTGGGAATTAACTCCCCAAGGATCGGACTGTCACGGCAGAGTTCTACTTCTGAGAACACTTGGTGCAAACGACATGAGCTGAGATTAGGAGATTCAGGGTTCATTACAGATGGTGCTTGACATGTTCACAAAACAAGACACCTAGGAGCTGCATCGCTGCACAAGAACTTGAGAGGAATGGCAGCCCAAATGTTAGTCAGGTATAGCTTTTGATTTTTATACACAGTATTAGAACTTCTTGATTGTACTTCATATGCCTCCTGGTCATTCGCTCTCTTTTTAAAACCAATCCTTCCACTGAACTCGGTTCATCTTCTCTGTATGCTTCCTGGCTTCCTCCGCTATACTCCTAGATGCTGAATCTACTCTGTCTCTGTTTGCTGTGGTTCTTCCAATCTTCTGCTTTGTCAAAACAACCGCTGCTGGTTAAGATAAAACACATCCCTACCGGTGCGCCAACGTGGAAATGGCTACACACAAAACTCTGATATACTGTGAGATACAGAGATATACCTGCTGCTGGAAGCTTTAATCAGCATTGTGGGAATTTGTTTGGGAAGTCCAGCTTTCTAGCTTTTAATCTGCAGTTCTCAGAAATGACCAGCTACAGGCATTTAGAACTGGTAGTCGAGCAGTCTGCTGGAAAGCTACTTGTGTCATGCAGAGTTTTAATTATTTCTGACTGACTAGACCAGATGTTCTGTTTAGGGACTGCTGTAGCATAAACCTACATATTTTATTACCAACAAGGGATAAAATCCATCCATTTTCTATACACCGCTTAATCGTCACTAGGGTCGTGGGGGGCTGGAGTCTATCCCAGCTGACTTAGGCGAGGGACACCCTGGACAGGTCACCAGTCTATCACAGGGCTACACTTAGAGACAGACAACCAAGCACACTCACATTCACACCTACGGACAATTTAGAATCACCAGTTCTACAATTACATTTGGCAGACACTTTTATCCAAAGCGATGTACATCTGAGAGCAGATGCAACACAATCAAGGATCTAGTCAGGAGAAAACAATCTAGATAAGTGCCACAGAACAAATTCAAGTGTGAACCTCAACATGTTTTCCACGCAGAAAAATCCCGGCGCGCCCACCGGGACGCAAACCGGCGACCTTCTTGCTGCGAGGCAACAGTGCTACCAACTGCGCCAGCTTGCAGCCCAAGGGATAAAATGTTACAGGTAAATTTGACTGAAACGTCCAGTACCTGTTTCAGTTAGAACTTCTGGACTAAATAATGAATCAACTAACTGGAGAAATAGTGGAAAAATGACTGTTAGTTGCAGCCATTGTTTCACTTTTAATCAATAAATCATAGCCATCCCTCATTTGCATAGAGACATTTAGGCCGCCCAGAATAACAAAAACAAACCATGATGAACAAACACTATTAACCTGCGTGTGTACCCTTTGGGGCAATATAAAGTGAAACCAGGTATGTGTGTGTGTGTGTGTGTAAGGCCGTGCTGTGTTGGGTGGAATGCAATGTGCATTTGTATTCATTATCACTTGTCTGCAAAACAAATAATAGCGTGCACGTCTATCGGTGCAACACACACACACACACACACACGGCAAATACAACAAGCTGAGTATGGAGATGGATGCTGTGGATATTACTAACATCATTAAGGTGCATGCACCCTCACACAAAACACTCAGACACAACTATATGCATGCACACGCACACTCTCACACACACTGCTGATCCAGCACAGTGTCAATGAAGATGGATCACACTGTCTTGCAGGTGTGACAGTGTTTTCCAGGTGCAAGGTCACTTGTCTGTGCCTGTGCACTACGCGTGCTGAAGTTGACCTTCGACTTCACACTCCACTTTAATTGTGTGTAAGTGAGACTATTTTTACCTTCAGCACGCAGTTCCTGTGGCCGGGGACAGAGCCATTAACATACAGCACATTCAACTTGGTGTTGATCCTCCATATCTGGAAGAGAGGGAGACAAAGAGGAGGCAGATTAGAGAATATCGAACCGAAATTGCAAGTCAATGACGACTAAGTTTCAAACCAAGACTGTGTGTGTGTTTGCATGTGTGTGTACCTTCAGTCCGAAAGCTGTGACGTAGCTGTTGCCCATTTGGCCGGGCATCTTCTTCCCTTTGAAGACTTTGCCTGGATCCTAGATGCACATATGCATGCTCATATTAATGGATTACAGGAAGCCAACTGTTCGCGTTTGGCATGGATGAACATCTTACAGTACTGTACGTGTGTGCTCGTGTTTTACCCCTCCAGGTCCAGAAGCTCCTGGTCTGCGATGAGTTTTGGTCTGGCCGTGGCTGGCAGGCTGACCTTTGAACCCCCATCGCTTCATGACTCCTTGAAAACCCTTACCGATGCTGCACACAAACACAGGAAGGTGTTTATTTACACACTCGTATTTTCAAACTGCATTTATGTTGATTTGCTGCTTCAGGGGATAATAATATGAAAAAAAGAGCGGTTTAGACTGTCTTGTAAAGTCAAAAACAGATTTATCTTCAAATCATGATGCGAGGAGAGGGCAAGAAGCAGGAAAGGAAGCCAAGAAGAGGCGCCAGAGAGGAGAGCAAGCTGGCAGAACAGCACTTACGATTTGGCCGTGATGTCCACGTACTGTCCTGGACGGAAATGTGCTGCGTATAGAGGAGTGCCTGAACACCACAAACGAAACGGCTTTTAAAAAAAACGTGAACAAAAATCTAAATAACACATTAGAATTCTATAGTTTGAAATGGAAAGTGCAGTCAGTGAGCTTTTCTACCTGGCTTGATGATGGCATTGTCTGTGACTCTAAAGTGGGTGAGTTTCTGCTTTGGAGGCACTCCTGCATTCCTGAACATTTCCATTTGCCCTTCGGACCTCTGTCAGTCACCGTGATGGACGGAGAGAGAGAAATGTGAGGATGGACGGAAGCAAGCGGAGCAGTACAAGAAGTAAAAGCAGTGAACAGCAGTTGGACTTTGGCATTTTAAAATTAACCACGGGCCTGTTATGACTGTATGGGAGCCAAGCACACACACTCGCCGGCATACGCATGCACACTTGGCAGTGAGCGTCTTTGACATTTGCTTTCACTCGGCTCGCTCTCATCTCGGCGCCTCCAGTCATTCCCCTTCTGTTGACTGAAAATCAGCCTGCCAAAGCTTCTCACTCCAACAAACTCTGCCTCTGACTAAAGAGTGATGTGGCTGTGTGAGAGGGATTCAAAGCAACTTCACATTCGACGAGTGAAATCCCGACACCGGCCTGTCAAGCATCTATCACAACTCAATGAATAAATTACACCGTCATTTATTCTCGCTTGTTCCTTTGTTTTTTATGTTAAAAAGATCGATGTTCGCAGAGGAAGTTCAACAGATGATGTTGCTATCCGTCACCTCAGTTGTCCACTTTGGTGTTGGAGAGTTTTGAAAGCAGGCCTGGGACCTTAGAGTTGGTTACAAGCATTAAAAACATTTCTCAAACGGACAGCGCTCGTCATTTTTTCGTGGAACAGAGCATCAAGAAGATCTATTGGCTTCCATTTATCCTTATATCTAAGACAAAATGCAGTCGCTGATGGTTAGTGGGGGATAATTTCCTGACTATGTATCTGTATTCATAAAAGGTCTGAGAACTAGAAAGCCTGATATGCTAAAGGGAAATGACAAAATTCAATTATGCATCCATAAAGCTGTCACACTGATTAGATTTTTTTTTTTTTGCACGATTCCTCCGCCGCCGCTGCTGCTGCTTTCGTCTTGGCGGATTATATGATCAATTCTGTTTGTTTGTTTGTCTGTGTCAGCAAGCGAGATGATGCAAAAACTACCAACAGAATTTCATATAAGTTTGTAAAAAGGTGCCGCATGAAGAGATAAAGAACTCATTAAATATTGATGGGGAACCTTTGGTTAAAACTGCACGACGGGGCAACGGCCTTGGAGGAAATCGTGTTTCTCCAAGTTCCCTACAATCTAGCGAGAACGAAAATTAACAAAAAATGCGCTAAGTATGTAGAAGACTGGCGTGGCACATATCGCTCATGCGTAGGACACTGCGAGGTGATAATGCGGTTGGAATTAGCTTGACGAGTTGCGGCTGCTCTGCTATTATTAAAGTATTGAGAGTGGTATGATAAAATGTGGGACTGGGGTGTTACAATTCAGTACAAATTCAACACCTCGACGAAAACGTTGCAGTTACTCAGCCCTCGTGTAAAAACACAGCTTGGCAGAGGAAAATAAATAAGCTCTGCGAAAGATTAATAAACACTGAGTGATTTGCTGCTTTTTGAAAGTGCGGGCCATTTCGCTTGTCCATGATCATCTTGATTGGTTTGCTGTTTAGTGGAACCACAACCAAGCCCGACAAATTGAAGCAAACTTCAGTAAAGTAAAAGCTGTTACTTGGAACAGCACTTTGAAAAGTAACACCACACAAAATCAACATCTCCAGTTCCACAGCTGAGTGTTGCTGGTGTTCCTGTCTGGCTGCATCCTTCCTCTCACCCACTGTCAGCTTAAATAGGCTTCAGCCCCCTGTGACCCTCCACAGAATCAAGAGGGGGATATATAATGGATGGAAAGATAAAAACCTTGTAATAGCTTTTTTCTTACATAGAACGGTGATACGTTTTTTCCGCCTACAACAAGAGCAGCTGTGCGTCCATCGTACTCTTCTTTGGACATGCACTTTAGTACGTGGCAGTCCTGCACCTGGAAAAAAAACCAAAACACACACACTGCATTACAAATCAGCTAAACACTGTGGCCACAGAATTGAATTTAACAACAGTCTGACTTTTAACTGTGCCACTTAGTCCCCCGGAGACATAAACAGATAAACAATTAGGTGGAAAGCATTGTAAGCAATTAAGTGTAAGTTGGTTGCATATTGTTGAGAGCGCGTGAACAGAAATTTCACATGGTCGCATTCGTACGAGCGCATGGTAATCATGAGGCTGATTTAGAGCCCCTCCGGCTGGCACGCGCAGCTGCTGCGCTACCCGGTGTGGTTGAAAGCAGCGCTTTTTCTTCTACAGTGGCGAAGTGGGTCCCTCCCTCCCTGCCTGATACGTGAAACAATCCATTTAGCTGTTGTGTGCTCCAAAGATGAGGTGGTCTATAACTGATTACGTGAAAATGAGAAGAGAGAGAGGAGAAGGCTGATGGAGAGGGAGAGGCGCCGACGTGCTGCAGGCAGGGAGATACCGACTGAGCCGGTGAAGAAGGAAAACTACTACCTTCAATCACAATGTCTGACGCAGTGCTAGGGCTGCAACATTCAATGACTATTATTAAAAATTACAATTTTGCAATTCCACAATTAAATGAATTGAGATAAACTGGACTGATGCTCATAGAAACCTCTGCACATAGAGAAGAGCCAATGCAGATAAAATCACGCCGTAATAATGGGGAAGTCACTGACATTTGAACGCTTTGTCTTTTCAAGGTAATTTTGTGTCACACAGCTGTCTGAATTGCTGCACTGCAGGCCTTGGGTGGCTTTGCTCTGCACAGCCAGCGAGCTAGCGTCTACAGTAGCCTGCATACAGACGTGGCAAAAGTACTGTCATTCTTTACTTAAGTAGAAGTAGAGATACTTGTGTAAAAATGGACTCTGGTATAAGTAGAAATACTGATTCAGCTCCTTTACTCAAGTAAAAGTAAAAAAGTACGGGTTCAGAAATGTGCTTAAGTACAAAAGTAAAAATGAATTTTTAGCTTCGATGACACGCGATGCCTCTTTTGATAACTCTGCAAAACGAACAAAGTTTTAAGCACACAAAATAGGATTGTTTTCATCCTTTGAGAGCCTGCACAGCGCTGGTACAGAGAAAAACATCACTGGACAGTTTTCTATTTCAGCAACATTATGAACATGAAACATTACAATCAACATGGAAACACTCATCTCTTCAAGACTACCAAAATCTTTTATTGAGCCTCAGCAGAAGCTGGTTCTCAAAGTTCTTTGGATGAAGACGGGCCCTTTTGGGTCTGAAAATCAGTCCTGCAGTGCTAAAAAGCCTCTTGCAGGCAGCTGAGGCAGGCAGGGGTGTGTTGAGGTTCAGTGACTAATTGCACACTGCTGGGGAAGATAAAGACGTTTGTTGTTACGTCTTTTACGTCATGTCGTCATCTGCAGAGGATGAAACGAGTAACGAGCCAGTTTTGAGAATGTAAGGAGTAGAAAGTCCAGATATTTATGTTCAAATGTAGGCAGTACAAGTAAAAAGTCGTCCGAAAAATTCATACTCAAGTACAGTACAGATACCTGCAAAATCTACTTAAGTACAGTAACAAATTATTTGTACTTCGTTACTTCCCACCTCTGCTTGCATGTGAGATTGCGTTTAGGGAACATCAGTAAATTGTAGTGTTTATTGGCAAGCGTGTAGCATGTGTCCAGTTTATAGGAATAATATCAGACAACCTTCAGGAAAAGACCGGTGGCAAAATATTAAATGATGTAAATGAACTAATCAGTTGATTAATGCCATGCTGTAATAATAACAGGGGTGGGGAGGGGTAACCAAATCATGTGCTGATGCAACCAGTTGCCAGTGAAAAGCTCGTCCTGAGCCCTGTCGTGTGTAATTCAGTGAACATGTCCTAACGGTCCGGTAAGTCCATTCTGCTTTGCGGTTAAAGAAAAAACGCCTGTGTTTGTGCTTTGGTCCGCACATTATTACTATTACACAACATTATTCCACTGTGTCCCGCGCACATTTCTGGTCATGCACAGGACAGGGAGGGTGGGAGGGAAGATGGGGGGAAAGTGGGCAGTGGGAGTAAGAGGGTTGGTAAATCTGGTGCGTGCTAAATTATATATATGTCATACTATTAGAATATTTTGATTAAATTAAACAAGATGATATCACAAACAAAACAAACAGTCCTAATTTCATTTTGCAAAACAACAATTAAAGTTGTTCTGCACTTTTCCCCCTTTGTTATGAAATACTTTTAGTTCAGATACAACATGTACCAAAATGCCAAAGTGGTGGGAGTGCTTTCACACCGAGAAAGTAAATTGCAATGTTCTACTTTTCACTTTTGCACAGACCATTATTGTTTCTGCTGAAAAGGAAATGACTAAATGTGACAAAAGTGAATCAGCAGATGGGATATTAGTTTCTGTGCAGCCTGTAATCTGATATTAAGGTGATGACAAAACGTGTTTTTATAACCGTTGAATATTTCTCTGACTGTTAGCGCTGACATTTTGCTGAAACAGAAACAGAGTTTGTTTGCTATGCTTCACACTACAGTGTGTCAAGATCAATAAAGAGTAGCATGAGCATGGTGTACTTTCAATTTACCTCACTGACAGATTAGTCGATGAGATTAAAACGTGACCCGAATAAACCTGACACCAGATATCGCCTGTTCACACCTTGCTGTAAGGGAGGAGCAGCTTGCTGAGGAACACTGAGGCATTTCTAATGCAAGATCAAAGTCTCCTGGTGAAATTTAAAAGGTGTTCAATATCTGCTATTCTTTGCCCACACTCCACAGAACAATCCAATTTATTTGACTGCTTTTTTGACCTGCTTATCATTTTTGCTACGGATAACAAACATAAACACACATCATCATTCCTGAGGACTGCCTGCAGCTATTTCGGGCAAAGATAAGGCGCAACATATATCCGTGTGCTACCTGTAACATGGTGACGCCACGCATTTCTCCTGCTTTCGTCCACATAGGCGCCATTCCCAGCTTGACAGCGACTAAACCAACTCTTCGACTCCCTGGGAAGAGGACAGATGAAAAGACCATAAGTGTGCGAGCCAACATGAAGATGACTCATGACGGACACAGCTCTCCCTTTTCATGGCACTTACCCTCTGTCCACTCATGTCGTTGCCACGGCTCATCTTTGAGTGGGTTGAGCTTTTCAGCCGTCTGTCTTTTGTATTCTTCTGCCATGCTCTTCCTCATGTACTCCTGGTTGTCCTCAGTGAGGTGTTCTTCGAAAAACGTTGTGGTCTTTACTGTCCTGACACAACCCACCAGCTGGACAGGACTGAACGTGAGAAGAAATCAGAGAATCAGGAGCAGTGAAGAAGACCATCACTCCAGATTAGATACAAAATAGTCAATCAATATGTTTTCTTTTTAGGGCCAGTTCTGATTATTAGGAGTCCAGATAGCCGATAACCAATATCAGGAACCAATATACCATTTGCACTTTTGCAGATTTGTAATGACACAAACTCAAATTCATTTGTTTTTAGGATGTTTTGCACATTTTCAACTAAAACAGAACTTTTCAACATTTATTCTTCAGTGCTGATAAGCTACTATTTGTGTGTGTAACCAACATTCCTTGAAACCAAAGAGTAGTGACTGTAGATAAGGAAACAACTGCATTAGAGCCAAAGTAGTGCTTTTTTAAATTAATTTATTTTATCAACAATCAGTCTCTCCCTAATTGTTCTAATTTATTTCAGGGACGCAACATTTATTTTTTAGCTTGTTGATAAGTAATTTCATTATTTTCATAACTAAGTATTTAGTCAAAATATGTATACCTTTTGCAATCACAATCCCTTTTATTGTCAAGTAAGCTTTCTTAGTCAAGGACGATGACCTGTTGCTTTGATGCATGAGAATAAACACTAACAAATTGAAAAAATAAGGAAAACTAAAAGACTTATAAACATAAGTTTCAAATAAAAAGTAAGTGGTACAAGACGCCGGTGTTAGGAGTTAAATAAAAAGCAAATCAGAGTTTTAAAGAATGGAATCCAAATATTTACAGTGTTATTTAAATGGGGCAGATGTACAGGAAGGTGCAAATTATTCACCTGGGAATGTGTCAGATCTCACAGTATGCAGTGCAAATACCGTAACTTGAAACATGCAAAAGTATAAAAATAATCCCCTTTAAAGGTGTGCGTTATTATAACTCATTGAGTAAATGTCTATCGTTGAGCGTTTGTGGAGCGAGAAGGGGGAAGGTGGCAGCCTTTCTAACTCTTCAGAGGATATCACCACACAAGACTTAATGGCACAACAAAAGGAGGAATCTGCTTTTATACTAACAGCGGATGGTGTAATGATGTGACAGTAATTCATCAGCACTACTATCCTTATCTGGAATCATTTTTCATTCATTTCAAACCTGTCTACTCCCAGTTTGTGTCATTCCTGTTGATCTGTGTTTACATTCCAACGCAGGCCAATATGCAGGCGGCACAAGGCGTGCTTACCAGCCAGTTAGTTTGGAGCCGATATATCCCTGCATTTTTGCACGATTAAATAATTGCTTAATAATCCAAACTATTGCTCCTAGGTTTAATGAAGATCATCATTCCAACAGTAATGCATCTATTCGTTGCACAATCTGAACTGATTTTTAGTTTGTTGCTTCAGCAGTTTAGTTTAAAAAGTTGAACAAAAGTCATCACGTATCAGTCTGTTGCTGACGTCTGTTGGGTCACTGCAGTGAACTATGCTGATGACTAACAAGCAGGTCCACGCATTTACACAAACTGTCTTAAGTGCGTTAATGTCACAGCATAATGACGACTGCAAGACAGAAATGAAAGCCACATGGAACTTAATAAACACTGGTGGCATGTTCTCGTTTTAAGGTTTGTCTGCTGACAGATTGTTGATTTTTAACTTTACTGACTGGCACAGTGGAGAAGTATTTAAGTTTATCATACTATGACAGCCGCAGCTTTCATTATCAATGTAGAATACAGAAAAGTCTAATATTTCCAGACGTCATGATCAACTTTTAGGTCATTAACTACACGAATTTTGACACACTATAGAAACATCAGGCTTTAACTGCACAGATTTATTCAACACTCACCCTAATGGTAAGAAACTGAAGCGATTCAGCAACCTTTAACGTTACTATTTAATAAGACAACATTACTAACTATCAACAGATAATAAGATCTCCTCAATAGCATCAACAGTATGGAGTTAAACAGCAAAACTGCACCGCAATGTCGCCACATCAACCCGAGTTAGCTAAGCTGGAGCTAACTTCAGCTATGCTAGCACAACTAGCCAGTTAGCATCGCTACCTTTCAGTTGCTGCACGGGGAGAAATGAGTCGAGTTCCCCGCCGAAGAAGAAACCGGCAGCTCAACGCCGCCATCGTACTCCTTAATATACACACTTAAATATACATAAAACACTAAAAAATAAACTAGAAGGACACGGTGTCGCACGACATATGCAAACACATGCCTTCTTTTTCGTCCTGTTCTAAATGTCACCCTTGATACTTCCGGTACCTTACGGAAACAGTTCCGCAGTAACTGGGGTCATAGCAAAGGTTCCGCACAACGCTGGTTACTTCTTCTTTTTTTTTTTTTTATCAAACAAAACAACAACAAAAAAGGCATAATCGATCAAAAAAAAAATCCGCAACTTGTATATCAATATTATTTTTTACATGTTTATCAGAAAATGTTGACGGCTCAAAATGCATTTAAAACGACGATAACGATTCAGTTTCCCTTTTAATTTTGACATTGAGGAGCACCGTTGAAGCAACACTGTGACCTTGTGAGGCTGTTCACTTGAGTTTGCAATCTTTTAATTTAAATTCTGATATTAATGTTGCTCCTCAGGCTTCAATTAAACCACCACAGACTCGTCAATGTTACATATGTATATATTTATTCTTTAAAATATTTATATCATGCCTACAAAAGATTACATTGTGTCTCTACTTTGCTTCGTTTAGGATGCAGGGATATATGAATATGCAAATTAGTCCCTGCCTGTATCCCCACCCCTCCCTCTGCTGCGAGCCTCCAGCTCAAGCACACCAGCTCACCTTCTCTAAAACTACTCTACGTTACACAATGGTTCATATGTGGACCAGAAACTGAAGGAGATCCATGTCTTTGCTCAGCAGTGACGACCAGTTTTACTCATGATGTATCTTCTGGCATGTAAAAAAACAAACAAAAAAAAAACAAAACACCTTACTGACAGGTTTAATAAAAAAAACTTTAATTGAAGGGTGACTTTAAATGTTGATGTTTCTGAGCTCTATACAATACATAAATAATTAAACAGATTTTAATTGCAATATTAATATTATTAATGTTCAACTGTATTTTTTTTTGCTAATTATGACATTTATTAGAATAGAAGAGTACAGAAGGATATAGATTTTCAGTTTAGCTTTCAACTGATTCAAATAAATAATTTATTTATTGTATTTATATATATATATATATATTACAAAACTTACTCATGGATTTGCCAATTTATGTATACATTTATTCAGTTTTTTTTATTCCAGATCACATACATTTTTATTTATTGTCTATTTTCCTTTTTTTTTTTTTGCTCAGTTCCTTAATCCTTGTTTTTATCGAGTCCCTTATTTATAACGTGACAGGGTTTTTTTGGGGTCCAGGGTGAAGGGCTGGATTCCTTTTGTTCTGTAAAGCAATATGTGTCCCATTCTATTTGTAATTTTTAAAAAAAGCTTAAAAAAAATAAAGTCTGATCAATTGATTGAGAAGAGAGCTGTCACGACTAATAGGTACAGTGTTATTTATGCTCATTTTAATTGGTTATGTGCAGCGTGACCTCATGGCTGAGTGGTTATGTTGCACACCAGATGGGTGAGATTATCCTTAGCAGCCTCTGGTTCGATTTAACTAGACTTTTGCTGCATATTATTAACTGCTCCCTTTCCCAAAATTCATGTCTACATCCACTGTAGCCATCAAATAAAGACAAAATGTCAAAAACAAACTTTAAGTGGTTATTTTCAGCCACTACGAGACGGATCCTTTCAGCCTCTGTCAGAGTAACTCTTCTGATGTGGGCTGCCTCTGATAAGGAAACAGATATCAGGAAGTTCATGTTTTGAATACTGATCCGGCTGTCAGACACCAAAGCACGTATAGAGTGTACTCTCAGGACAGCCAAAGTTTGGTTCGGTCTAATTAACTGTATGGAGATTAGTGAAATAATTTATTCTTGCATTTTTAATGTCTGTCTAGGAAGAAGTGAAAGAAAGATATTGTGAATGAAGCTGTCTGCGGGGCTCAAGGTGTTTTATGTGTGTATATAAGAAGTGCGTGAGGCAGCTTGAACTATTGTGGAGTTGCACTTCATTCAATAATGAAGCACGGCTGTCCACAAGAGAGATGGAGAGATGTGTGATATCCAATCCAACTGGAGGTCTGAATACACAAATAGGCAGTATATTCACTGGGAAACGGGCTCAGCAGCTCATTGAGCCGAGAAAAATAAATCAACCAACAGGCTGCCACAAGCTCTTTCTTTGTTATTCTAGATTATACCTCCATGCAGCCTGATTATACACTCGCACACACGCACACAAAGTTGCTTTTGTCACTCAGAAAGACATCGATTCTCATCAATCCTCGGCAGACTTAATCTAAACTACAGCCGCAACATGCCAAACTGCAACCTCAGCTTGCAATTCTTAACAGTCTGGTTGCAAAAATGTATTGAAGAGTGTGAGCGCCGATTACGTGACCTTGTAATAAATCACAGCACGCACAGACATAAACACAAAGATCAAAATGAGAAAACCAAAGTGTCTTTATTATAATCAACATGCAGAATACAGAAAACAATTTTCAGCCCACGGATGAGTTTCTACCAACACACGCTTTGTCTATCCTCCCAAAACTCTTTACAATGTAAGAAGGTTATTAAGAAATTATTACAATTATTCAGTTGTTCATTTCCATTTAGCAAAATCTCAAACAACTCTGTAGAAAAGAACCCCCAAACACCCATGACAACCCCCGGATCTCAAATGACAGAGATACTTTATTTCATAACTAGCAAGCGGCTACTGGAGATTGGATATTAGCGGGAGCTGAATTATGCATGCAGTTCTTCAGTGCACTAACAGGAATGCTACCATCCCCATAAATAACATTTGCAATGCTAATTCTAAGCATTTCGGGTTACGCAGTCTCGTATTTTGGGGGGCTTTTCTACTCACAGATCTTTTGGTCTGTGTACTTGCTAGTTATCTAAATAAGGTAGGAGTGTCATTTCTTTCATTGGGATATGGAGAGTCTGCATGCTGGTTCAGAAGACTGTTCTTAATTCTATAAATACCTTTCCAATATACAGTAGATAGTAATAATATCCCAGGTGATGCCATTGTGGCCAAACATGCAATAGTCATCAATGGAGTAGTTCAAATTGTTTCACCAGAACAAGCTAATTCTCTGAGCTAGACTACTGTATGTAGTACTGTTGTGTGTTGTGTATGTGTGCTTGTGCTTTTTGGACATGTATATGTATTATACAGTACTTAAATGTATATATATTTATGGTTTATATATATATATGTGTGTGTGTGTGTGTGTGCATGGAACTGTGTATGCGCATAGTCCATTGTCAGGGGCTGAAGGTTCTTGTGGACTCGTAGTCCGACATACACTTGGGTTTAATTCCTTTCGCATTGTAGTAATCCACCACCTGGTTAGGGACTTCTGCCAGAACACTCTTAGCCAGGGCGGCTGGGGAGGCCTGGAAATACAGAGAAAGAGAGAGAGAGAACGAGAGAGAGAGAGAATGAGACAACTCACCAACACACACACACATCGCCAGCCATGTCTGATTCCAGGATGCTACAATTTACTGTTGAGCCCGATGCTGTCAAAGGTTTAGCCCAGTGAGACTTATGTGATCAGACAGGCTCATCTGACAACCTCAAAAACATCCCTGCTTTCACCTTTTTGTTCCCTTGTACCATAGCTTGGTTTCTAAACATGCGTGCAGCAGCAGAAAAATGCACCGCATCCTGTCAGGTTTTGCCTGAAGGGACTGTCTTCACACTGCGCAGACGTAAATAATCACATACGGTAAACTACTACAGTTTATGCTGCATCAGTTCATTGTTTGCTCCATGGATTTTGCTATTTGATAAATGGTTTCACCAATTTGAATAAAGTTACATAAATGTGTGGAAATCGACGACTAAACAAAAGATGGACATAGCCAGCGTGACGTCACCTCGAGTTTGGTAGTTGGCCCAAGCTTGCCATGTCCTAAAATAGCTTTATCGTCTATTTTACTCTAAATGGGACAGCTGTTTTTCAAAACGAACGCTATACTGTGTTCAAAAACTCTTTAAACTGTCAGCTGAGCCCATTAACCTATTAGGAAAATCCTCACTGAGGTAACAAAGCAAGCGAGGAGAAGGGTCTCTTTCTCATAGACTTCTTTTTAATTAGACTTCTTTTTGCAACCGGATGAATCGCCCCCTGCTGGTTGTTAGAAAGAATGCAAGTTTAAGGCACTTCTGCATTGGTTTCACTTTTAGGACCCTAAAGCTACATTCACCTTTCATATACAGCCTATAGTGGTAACCTAAAAGGCAAGAAACCCTTGCAAAGTAGTAATGGCAAGAACTATACATCCTTCCATCATCTATGCGCCGCTTAACCCTCACGAGGGTCACGGGGGGCTGGAGTCTATCCCAGCTGACTTAGGATGAAGGCAGGGGACACCCTGGACAGGTCACCAGTCTATCACAGAGCTACACTTAGAGACAGACAACCAAGCACACTCACATTCACACCTACGGACAATTTAGAATCACCAGTTAACCTCAACATGTTTTTGGACTGTGGGAGGAAGCTGGAGAACCCAGAGAGAACCCACGTTGCACGGGTAGAACTTGCAAACTCCACGCAGAAAGATCCCGGGTGTCTCATCAGGACGGGAACCGGCGACCTTCTAGCGTATGAACTGTTTTTTTTTGTTACAGGCAAAATGTAAATTACTACTTTTTTTCTGTGATTTCACTAGATATTATCTGTAATTTCACAAAACTGAGGATATCTATAAAATAACAGTGTGTTGTTAAAAAAAAATAAAATTAAGAACTGTTCAAAAACATTATTATTATTATTTTTTTTTTTTTTACAGTGTACTAAGACGGAAAAATCCCCATCCCTTCATTCAATGCATTTATTAACACACACTCACACTAATTACACACACACACACACGCACACACACACACTGCGCGGCCACTTGTCTGCACACACGCGCTGCCAAACGCACACACACACTTCTGAATCCTCAAAGTCACAGAGTCTGTCGTA